CACAGAAGGTGAGCTGGCAGGGAACACCTGACAGGCAACCTCATACACCTTTGCAGAGACAAAGCACCCTCAAATCCCCCAAAAAATGTACATTTGTGGTGCTCAGCCTCTTTGCCAAGACTGTTTCAATGACAAGCTGCCCACAGCTCGAGCTTTTTAGTCCTTGTCTTGGGATTTTATAGGTTCATTGCAAAGAAAACCACGGGCTGCGAGGCAGAGTCTCCATACACGGCGAGGAAGGAAGCATTAAACTTCTCTTTAAATTAAACAAATAAGACTCAACCACTTGGTTCATTATCAGATTCAATGGTTGGAGTCTGCGGGGAAAGCTGAACAGTCGAACCCAGGGTATAAATCAAAGACATGATCAGAGAGACAGGTGAGGCCGAGGGTGTGGTTTCACCTCTCAGCTCAGCCACTGCCAAAGGGATGGTCTCCTTCTCCTTCCCTGGCATGCTCAGCTCCCCTGCCCCAGCTCCCTCCTGCTGCCAAGCTCATGGCAATATCCCAGCCAAGCTGGTCTTGCTCACCCTGAGCTTTAGGGAATTATTTTATCCTTTTCCCATTTCTGGGAGCTGGACTGGTTCAACTGGGCATTTCCAGAGGCAGGAGATGGAGGGAGCTGGCCAGAACCCCTCCCTCTCTGCAAGGCACCCACCCGTGGCTCAGCAGCAGAGTGAGCACGCAGGATCAGGAGACAGCAAAGCCAATTTAGAAGCCTGTGCTGCCAAAAGGGACCATCCCCCCACCAGTCCCTCCAGCCCCCCAGGGCCTTCCCAGTCATCCAAGTGGAAGATTTAGCAACTCTAACTTCGAGGCAAGATCCAGGAAAGTTTGGGGCTTGGGTACTTTTTTTTTTTTTTTTGAAGGGTTAACTGGAGTCACTCCCCTGCGGCTGCTCCAGTGCTGGATTCCCGCAGCAGGGAAGAGGCAGGAATGTACCTGCCACCTCCTGCAGCAGCGAGTCCTCCGATGGAGCTGTAACGTGAAACTGCGCCCAAGGAGCTGGGAAGGGGGAAAAAAGGGGGGAAAAAGAAGAAAAAAATAGAGTCCCACCTGGCTAGAAGAGCTCCAAGACATCTCATAGGTATGGAAAATGGGAAAACAACCCACCTTACGTGATTGCTTTCCCTCCTGTTGAAAGACAGCAGATATTTCTCACACAGAAAGAATGACTATGGGCTTAATGGAATTGGCAGGTGGTCTGGATGTACAAGGCTCAATCCCTTACTGGGCTGAACAAGCATTTCCCCTGAAGTGGTGCCTGTCACTGGAGAACCATCATCCCCACCAGAAAGGGAGAAGTGAGCTAGGGAACTCAAGTGGAAAACTCTGACACACTCAGCCCTGGAAGCTGTACTGAGCCATCTACCAAGGAAATTACTGAAAGAACACTCAACTGAAAAAGTGAATGTATATACACACACAGAGGAAACTATCTAGTCTAGAAATTCTTGGGCCAGCATAGTTGGAGATCTCCCACCAGCCAAAGTAACACAGCAAAGAGGTTTTTGCTGACTTTGCCAAAGACACCATCCCAGAGCAAACGAGGCAGGATAAGGGGATACACAATAGCAGGGTTTGCTCAGGGAGGCCTCCAGGAGAGCAGAAAGTGAGCAGAAAAGGGAAAACACCTGGAGAACCGACCAAGTAGCAGCCCAAATAATAAAAAAGGTCAAAATTAACAAAATGTGTCAAAATAGCAAAAATAGTGGTCAGAGAACACAGTTTGGTGCCCAAGTACCAGCTTAAAGAGTCAGGATTGCAAGGCACACTATAAATTCCCATTTAAAGAGGAAATTTGACCAGTTCCACTTGAAACAAGGTTTTTAGCTGTCTCACCCCAGCTGCAGATAGCAACTGGCCCTGAAGATCCCCAGCCCACTGAAATGCCAAAAACCAGAGAATGACAGCAGACCACAGTGAGGAGGCAGACACAGGACTCAGCTCAAGGGAGCCACTCACTAGTCAGCAGCTCATAAGCAAGGCAGGAGACAAAAACCTGACTCTACATACAAAGGGCAAGTTTACAGTACCAATTAATTTATACAAATGAGATGCTGCCTAACAAAAGATGAGTTCCAATTGAAGCGATTCCATAAAAAGCACTACCTGAGATACCCAAACCCAGCAGGTTTGTGGGTGAAAACCTGCTCAGTCTCAGGGCTTCTGGTACTAAACCAAAAGTTTTGAAGCCTCGTGGAAGCTCACCAACAGGTTCACCACATTCCCACATCATTTTGTATAGGATTATGTGCCAAGACCACAGCACTGCAATGAAACCCCTCAAGAGTCACATCTGTGAACATGGGAACAAGGAAGATGCAGAGCAGGAGGTTTTCCACCACAGGCTCAAAGGCCTGGAGAAACAGAGGAGGTAAAGGAGCTCTTGGAGAAGGTGTGAAGAGTTGGTTTGGAGGGTGATATGGGAAATCCAGGTGAAGCTCAATGCCTTCTTATACACAGAACTAGAAACAGTTCACATGACCTGCAGGGAACCTTCTCAATACAGCTCATTCTATGTGCACATACAAACACTCAGAGATCAGCCCCTGACCCACAGCTCCTCACACCCAGCCCTGCAAACAACCTGAAATCACAGCACTTGGTCCTGTACACACCCAGTCACACCAACACCACCAACCCTACAGGAGAAGGTGCTGACGACTCTTCCACCAAATCAGAAAACAGCTTTTTTCCCAAAATGATTTAATCATCACAGGTTACCCCATTAGTTTTTTTGGCACTGAGACTTTGTTGGTCTTGCAGTTCATGGTAGTGCCTCATCTTGAGCACCTACCAATTAATGCCCTGGTTGTGGCACACCTGAGGCCTCATCAGGCAGAGCAGATCGGCTGTGGGACAGCCAGAGGGGGATTTATGAGATGCTGGACCCTGACGTGGCTGTGCACTCACAATCCATTGCTTTGCTTCCCCATTTCCACATCTGCAGAAGCAGTCTTTAAACAAGCCAGGGTATTTTTAAGCTCTGACAGTTAAAATCCTCAAGTGACATCACCTGAAGTCAGAGCACAGCTGCCTTATTCCTCTGGCACACCAGCAAGCCAAAGTAAGCAGGAGCCTCATTTATGGGCTTACAGCACACCTTGAGATAATGAAAGCACTGGTGGGACTTGCCCTGCACAGCCAGGCCTCTCCTTGCAAGGCTTTTTTCCACCCCCTCCTCAGTTTTGGGGTAAAACCCAAAAATTTTAGCACCAGAGCAGCCCAGTGATCCAACAGAGGGTGCACATGGTGGGGGCCAGCCCAAACCCCACTGGCACTATCCCAGGGTTTGGGGACAAAGAAGCAGAGAAAAAGGATGAAAAATCCCCAAGACTGCATGAAGGATGGCAAAAACCAACCCCTCAAGCTACTTCCCGTGGTGTACCCGAGCTTGCCCGCCCACACTTCACCTTGCACACACGGGCACTCAGAGCAGCTTAAGGGTGTAAATCACATTAATCCACGCAACAAAGCCACATCCCCGCTCATCTTTGGGTGAGTTACTAATCCCTCCACACCGCAGGTTCCCATCTCACTTCCTACCCCTTGAGGAGGAAAAAAAAATACCTTTTAACATGATAGGTAACTCAGTGGATCCTGCCTTCTGAGTCTAGCTTTCAACAGCTTTGAGCAACAGTCTCCCCACAAGCCTGAGGATTTTCTGGGATGCAGACCAAGCCAGTCAGAGGCTTCCCTCTTCTTATGGAAAGGGGAATACAGGTCAAAAATATTTATTTCTTTTTAATCACTCCATTACGAAGTCCTCCCCACAAGACAGGCTTGCAGCTGCTTTGAAAAAGCAGGGTTTGGTTTCAATGTGTTCGACTCATGCTCTCGACACCTATTTTAATTTGGTGGAACAAAAGCATGCTGGCAGTAATTAAGGCAAATAATATCAAGTTCAAGAGAAAAGCATTAAGAAATAGTGCTGGGAAACGTTCACTGTGAATTTTTGGAATATAGGAGGAGCTGGCTGTCGCCCGCAGGAACCGCTACCACAAAAGCACTTTTTCTCCTTAAAGCAGCTACGGGCAGGCTGTACATCCCATAAATCGCAACTGTCAAAACACCCGGGTTGTGGGAGATGAGGAGAAAAGCAAACGGGCTCCACACAGCTCGGCTGGGATGCCAGCACCCCAGGATTACCTGCTTTGTTCAAGGAAAGCACCGGGCCATGAAGGATAAAACCCCAGAGAACCAAAGCTTCCACACTGCCCGTAACCTCGGTGACCGTGGCTGGTGTTCGGGTTAGTAAATTGTATTTCTGGTGCATGTGTGAAAGATAGAACTCACTGAGTAAACAGCCCTTCAGAGCTGACAGCTTTACAGCCACAGGCTCGGCGCGACTACTCCTTCCCAGAGGCAGCAAAGCAGTTGGGGAAAGCAGTAAAATAATAATTAAAAATAAAAAGCTACATAAAGCCATCACATTTACCCTTTCATCAACCCTTTACGCAGTTACGAGGCGGGAGCAAAATAAATATTGCCTGTTTGGTGCCCGACAGTATGTCACGGCTGAAAAACACATCCCTTTTGGTTTAAAAAACATCATTATTGGAAGCATGGGACAGACGACTGGAAAGTTCTTCCATTAGAAGTCAGGAACTATATAATTTATATTTGTTTTTGGCAAAGAGACAGATAAAGCAAGGGAAAGTAATTTAAAATTCACGAATCGCGTGGCTTTAAGAAGGTAGGCAGCTTAATGCAATAAAAATAATAATAACAGAGATAAGATGTCAGGATGCTTTACAGCCGGAGACCTCAGGCATCACACACCACCTCCTGCCTTAGGGACTGACTTTCCACCGCTCTAATTGCAGAGAAAAGTGACCTTACAGGTTAAAAACATTGAGATTAACCATTTTAAGGCAGTTAAGAGGCTGGACGCGAACCCAAACCCATCCCCTACGGCACCTCCTTCAAGCAGAGCAGCGTTTAAATGACAAATAGAGTGAAGTGGAGGCGCGTTCCCCGCGAAATGAGACCATAAATCAGCGCCGGGCAGCTCGGAGGGCTGGGGCGGCTCGGAGGGCTCGTCCCGCCGGCCGGAGCGCTGTGCACCGGCTCAGCCCCGCGCACCGAGCGGAGCGGGACCGGCACCGAGCGGAGCGGGACGGGCACCGAGCGGAGCGGGACGGGCACCGAGCGGAGCGGGACGGGCCCCGCGCGGAGCGGGACCGGCACAGAGCGGAGCGGGACGGGCACCGAGCGGAGCGGGACCGGCACCGAGCGGAGCGGGACGGGCACCGAGCGGAGCGGGACGGGCACCGCGCGGAGCGGGACGGGCACCGCGCGGTGACAGCCGCCGCCACCTGCGGCCGCCCCGGCCGCGCTCGCCCCTCACGGAGGAGCCGCGCTCGCCCCTCCCGGCGCGCGCCCGCCCGCGCCCCCCTCAGCGCGCGCCGGCGGCGGGAAGCGCGCGCGTTACCTCTCCGCCGCGCCCCCTCCCTGGTCCCGGTCCTGGTGCCGGTGCCGCTCGGCGGCGGCTCGCCAGGACATTCCAGGCTGGGGCGGGCGTCCCGGCGGGCGGGAGCCTCCATCCAGCGCCGCCCGGCCGCTCGGCGCCGCTTATCTCCCCCCGCGCTGCGCTCCCCGCCCCGCTCCCACCGGCGCCCCGTGTCGGGGGAGGCGCCGCCGCCCCGCCCCGCCCCGCGGAGCGAACCAACGCCGGCCTGGGGGGAGCACGGGTGCCCCGCGGGCGGACCCACCGCCCGAGGAGGGGAGGCAGCGGGCGGCGGTGAGCGCGGCCCGAGCGTGCGGCCCGAGCGGGGCGCTGCGGGCCCTTTAAGGGGAACGGGAGGGGCGGAGGGGATGCACGTGCGCTGCCGGGCAGAGCTCGGCCGAGAGACCGCGGCCCCGAACCGCCGGGACCCGGCATCCGTGTGAGCCGGGACCCGCGGCCCCGAACCGCCGGGACCCGGCACCCGTGTGAGCCGGGACCCGCGGCACCGCGGCCCCGAACCGCCGGGACCCGGCATCCGTGTGAGCCGGGACCCGCGGCCCCGAACCGCCGGGACCCGGCATCCGTGTGAACCGGGACCCGCGGCCCCGAACCGCCGGGACCCGGCATCCGTGTGAGCCGGGATCCGCGGCACCGCGGCCCCGAACCGCCGGAACCCGCGGCCCCGAACCGCCGGAACCCGCGGCCCCGAACCGCCGGAACCCGCGGCCCCGAACCGCCGGGACCCGGCATCCGTGTGAGCCGGGACCCGCGGGATGCCGCCCCGCACAGCAGGTGCTCCGGGCACCGGCGGGACTGGGAAGGCAGGGACCGGGCACGGAGCGGCCGGGTGCCCACGTGTGCGGGACTGGGCACCGAGCGGCCGGGTGCCCACGTGTGCGGGACCGGGCACGGAGCGGCCGGGATGCCCACGTGTGCGGGACTGGGCACGGAGCGGCCGGGTGCCCACGCGTGCGGGACCGGGCACGGAGCGGCCGCGCACACGCTGACCGGCGCTCCCACGGCACCGGCGCTCGGGCAGCCGCAGCGCCGCGCTCCCGCGCGCTCCCGCACCCACGCGAGCTCGCCACCTGTGCGTGACAGCCGCCCCCACGGGCGGGCACGCTGTGCCCCGCTCCGAGCACCGGCGCGGCCTCCCGGGAGCCTCCGCCTCTGCCGGGGCAGAGGTCATCCCGTCCGCTCGCTTCCACGCCGGAGAGCCCACGGTTCCCACGCCGGCTCTCTGCCAGCATACACCGTGTATGTTCGGAGTGTCGCTGGGGTGAGGGAGTGGCTCTCGCTTTTTCCAGAGGGCTGGGAAATGCCCCCACATATGCTCCATGCATCATCCTTCTCCAGATGATGCTACCAAGAACCCCGTACTCGGGCTAAAAATAGCAAAAAGGGGTTTTATCAAGGGCTCACACTGTGCTCAAACCATTGACCACTTCCAAAAGAACCCAAATGCACCCAAAATATGCCCCAAATGCCTTGTTTGTTTTGTTTGTTTGTTTGTTTTCATTCACTCTTTTGGTCACGTTCACAAGTGGTAGCTGGAAAGGGATTTATCCCAAGGGGAGTTTCACCTGGAAGGGTTTCAGCACCACATGGACTGCAAAGAAACACAGATGCTATGTTTAAAAATAAAGAAAGAAAAAGCCTAAAACCCCCCTAAAAATCTAGACTTGAAATAAAATCTCATGGTTTTCAGACAAACCTGTGAGACCTAAATGCCGCACTGCCCTGTGTTTACCAGCCCTAATTTTATCCCTCAGGAGATTTCCTGTAGGACGTCATTATTTCCACAAGTGTGAAAGGGGGAAAAAAAAAAGAAAATGAAGAGTAGAAAAATCCTCAACAGATTAAAAATCCCATAATCTGAAGAAAACACCCCAGAAAAAACAAAATCGGGGTTGGCACAGTTGAGGAGTTAAATGACTTGATTTATGGCAGCCACTGGAAAAGATGAGGGCTTCAGGATTGTTCTCAGCACAGAAGAGACAGCCAAGTCTGTTTTTTTGGGATAAAATACTCAAAATGCGGATCATAATGAAGGTGTTTTGCCGACCAGGGGCAGTGCCAAATTGCAATTTCTCCCTGTACAATTTTTGGGTCGATGTTTTCCCTTCCTTGAGCTCATTTGCATGAGAATACCCTCTTGGGCAGGAGAATTGCTGCTTAATTAGCGAACAGCAATCACTTTAATTAGCATGTCTCCATGCTCCCTGCTATTTTGCATAGATTCAAATGAGATGCTCATTAAGGAGCAGGCGCCCGGACAAGCTACGCCCTTTAGCCGCTCACTAACCCAATTAACTTCAGCCAAACCGTGCCGGGCCCTGTGCCAGGAGGGATCGGGCTGCTCCCAAGAAGGAAGGTGCAGAACCTCTCCCTTCAACCTGCTCACTTCCTCCAAACCTGTGAGGATTCCTTCCTTGGAAGGCTTTTCTCCTTCAACGTTTTCCTCCTTGCAAGATTTCCTTCCTTGTCAAAGGTTTTCCTTCTTGTAAAATTTTCCTTCGTACAAGGCTTTTCCTACACTGAAAGCTTTTCCTTCCTTGAAATTATTTCTTCCTTCAAATACATCCTTCCTTGCAAGATCTCCTTCCTTGCCTGAGCGTTTCCTCATTGCAAGGTTTCATTTCCTTTTGAGATTTTCTTTCTTTGTGATATTTTCCCCCACCCAAAGTTTATCCTCCATGTAAAGTTTTCCTCCTTGCACAGTTTTCTTCCTTGGAGGTTTCCTTCCTTTCAAGACTTTACCTCCTTTCAAGTTTTCCTGCTTGAGAAGTTTCCTTCCTCACAGGCTTTCTCCTCCTCATAAGGTTTGCTTCCTTGCAAGTTTTTCCTCCTTTTCCTTGCTTGCTCAGCGCTAGGATTTGGGAGCAGAAATGGGGGTGACACCCCCAAAAAGCCCCCTTCCGTCCTTGGGGATCCTCAAGCCCTCTCCGTGCCCCTTCCCCCCGCCCAGGTGGGGCCATCATTCCTGGCAGGAGCACGGGGGAATTTGAGGCTCCCCTTTGTTTTTCCGCCCAGCCAGCGTGGTCCCAGCGAGGTTGGGTTTTATTTTATTTCATTTCTCCTGCCCCGTAATCCCATCGTCTTGTCACGGTTCCCCGGGAAGCGGGGCTGCTCCGAACAAAGCCCCCGGAGCATCCCGGGCTCCCGGAGGGGGTTTTGCAGCTGCGCCTCGGAGCGTGACCGATCGGGAATGAGCCTTCGCAGCGCGTCTAATGCCGCTCGGACAGGGAGCCTTTCATCCGCTCGTGGGAGTGAGGCCCCGGCATTGAGCCGCCCGCTCCCCGCGCCCCGGCCCTCGGCGCTCCCGGCCCCGCGGGAGCCGCTCGGCTTTGGGGGGAGCCGGCGGAGCCCCCCGGGCTCGCCTCCGCTGCCGCAGCTCGGGGTGGAGGGGCTGGGGCTGGGGGATGCTCCCCACCGCCATGGTCTGGTCGCTGGCGCGCCATGCTGGGCTCCACTGGGTTCCTTGTGGTCCCCTGGCTTCTGTCCCCGGCAGTGCCACAGCCCAGTTCCCACCTCCACGTCCTCAGCAGCTTCCTTGTCCTGGCTCTCATCGTCCCATCCCTGGCAGGCATCTCCTTCCTGTTCCCATTCTCCTGACCCCAGCATGTACCTTGTCCTGTCCCTATCAGATCACTCATCCCAGTCCTGGTCACCTTATCCTTGTGCCATCATCCCAGCCCAGATCCCAGCAGGTTCTTGTCCCAGTCCCTTGTCCCAGTCCCTGTGTCTCTCCGCAGGGCCAGCCCAACACCCCGATGCCCTTTGGCATCCAGTGATCTCCATCGAGGAAAGGTTTGGGGTCCTTTTTGGGAAGGGGACGGCTGGTGTCAGCCTGGTGCCCCCCAGCCTTGGCAGTGCAGGTGGCATCAGCTGCTGAATGTGCCCTGCAGCGTGGCAGGGCTGTGTGTGAGGGGACAATCTGGGGATTTGCACTCCGAGGGAATGGATCAGGAACAGGGGACAGAGGCTGGAGGGGTGTTGGGATGGAGCACATGAAGAAACACACATCACCTGGGAAGAGAAGATGAAGATGAGGAGTTGAGAAGAGACAAGATGAAAATGATGAGGATGGAAGAGACAAGATGAAACAACAGGAGAGGGAAAGAGGAGGAGGAGAAGGACTAAAGGATGAGGATCAAGACGAGAGAAGATAGAGGATGAGAGATGTTGCCTCTAAAGAAGCCCCATACCCCAATGAGCTTTGCCAACCCACACTTCATGCATTGGTCAGGGGGGTTTGTTGGTTTATTTTCCTGCAGTGAAAAGTGGCTTTTTGACCCAAATGTATGTTTTCATAGTAAAGATTTTTTTTTTGGCTGAAAGGCTTTTTATTCCTTATTAAAAAGAAAATTGGTGAGGTTAGTGGGAAGGGTCACTTATGTAAAACCTCTTTTTTTCTTAAAAAAGCCCCAACTAATCTATTTTGGCTTTTTTTTTTTTTTTTTTTTTTTTTTTTTTTTTTTTTTTTTTTTTTTTTTTTTTTTCATCAGAAATATCTCTGCGGGAGGCTTTGGGAGTGAATCATTCCCAAAATCCCCTGTCCCACGCCGTGCCTGGTCCTGCCCAGATTTATCATCTCCCCTGCAGCAAACATCCAGAGGCAACAAAAGAAAATTAGAATTATTAGAAAATACTTTTTAAAAAAAAAAATTAATTATTTTTTTCCAGCAGACTAGAGGGTGATTTTGCCTCATTTTCCTGTAATTTGGCCATTTAACTGTATTTTGCCCATGGAGCTGCTTTGGCACCAAAAATTGCCTCAGTGTTTAGGAAGGAGCAAAGAACCTTGCCGTGCAGTGATTGTTGGGTTTCCTCGGGAAGTGGGGTTACCTCTGGGAAGACTGCTGGGGTGGGACAGAACTCCTGCAGCCCTGTAGAGGGTTCAGAAGTGATAAAAGGTTCTGTGACCTCTCCAGCACCTGCCTGCCCCAGGCCAAGCTGGAATGAGCCTTGCTGGAGGCTGTCTCCAGCGTGGCCTCCAGGGTAGACCTTGGGCCCACAATTCAGGCAGCTTGTCCTCAACCTTCCCTCTGGATGGACCTCAGTGATGCAGGGATGTTGTCTCCAACCTTATCTTCCTGGTGGATCCCAGATCAGCATTGTGGGTCTTGTCTCCATCCCTGTCTCCTGAAGGATCTCGGGTGGGTGCTGGAGGTACCTTCACTCCATCCCTGTCTCCTGAAGGATCTCAGGTGGGTGCTGGAGGTACCTTCACTCCATCCCTGTCTCCTGAAGGATCTCAGGTGGGTGCTGGAGGTACCTTCACTCCATCCCTGTCTCCTGAAGGATCCCAGCTCGCTGTTTCAAGCAATCTCCACCTTCTCTGAGCTCCCTGAAACCCAACCCACCACCTCACCTTGCTGATGGTGCCCATTCCCAACCCCAGCTGGACCCAGCTCGTGGTGGACGCCTCTGGAGGGGCCAAGCCCGTGGTGGAGGGAGAACCGGAGACGGGCGGAGGGGATGGAGCGCCTTCAAAATTGACACCATATGGCTGCTCCCTATCCCCGGGCCCAGTAAATAGGTCTTTCATGCTGGGCCGGTTGCCATAGGAGCAAACACGCAGGAAATATCCCAGATAACTCGAATAGTGGTGAAAACATATGTTTTGGATAAAGCCCGGCAGAAAATCGCCCCGTTTAACCCCTCCAAGGCAGTTTTAACCCCTTTGCCACACCTCGGCGCGTGCATGCAGTGGGGAAACTGAGGCACGCCAGGTCTGGGCCCCTCCTCAGCTGGCAGTAGGAGATCTGGCAGGCATTGTGCCGTGAAGTGGGATCGCTGTCAGGTTCCCAGTGTCAGCTTGCCTCCTTCTCCTCCTCCTCCACCTCCTCCTCCCCAGAGCCCCTTATCAAGACGGATGGCTGGATGCAAGGCCGTGTGCAAGCATTTTGATTTGCCAAGGAATTTGCTTTGCTTTTGCTTTTTTTATTTTCCCTTTTTTACTTTTTCCCCCCCCCTCTTCTTTTTGTCTCTATTTTCCAGCCCGGGCCAAACCTTTCCTTATCGCATCTGGCGCGCAGCGGGCCCCCGGCGCTGCCCTGGCCGCCGGCCAAGCGCGGAGCCGACAGCCAGGCGGCCGTGGCACGGCCAGGTCTCCCCGTGCCTCAGCATCCCGAGGGGCTGAGCCCCGAGCAACCAACAGCCCTGGCTCTCAGGAAGGGGTAACTG